TTCAAAGATGGATTAAATTGCACTAAGGCATTTTACGAGACGTTTCGAGTCAGCTGTTTATTTCTGTTTACCTATTTTGACGTTTACCAGCGGGCCGATTTGTTGACATACCACGACCAAAATCAAAACAAAAACATCAGACGTAAACAATAACAATGCCTCAAGCGCGTTCGAGTGGCCCGCCAGGAACTGTCATCAAGACGTCACGTAAAATAGCTTCTTGAAGCTTGCATAAATTATTGGTGTGAGCTTCAAGTGCAATTTAATCAAAGTACTCGCTTTCCCTTTTATGCACGCTAACTTGAAAGTGCCCACTAAATGAGTATCTTGTACTCATTTTTTTAATTTATTCTGAAGTGTCAAAACATGGGTATTATCATAAAAGGGAAAGTGAGTACTTTTTATTCATTTTGGAAAGTATCTACATGCAATAAAAATGGGTAAAATTAATGAGCGAATGGAATGGATGTCATGTCATGATAGTGAAAATGCAAAATGTCTGATCATTTTTAGTAAGCGAGCGAATCGAACTTCCGTGGATTTTGCGTGTGAAGTGTTTTGTAAATCGGTCAAAATTATTTCAATTCACAATATTACGCGAGTGATTGAACCAAAAGATTCCATCCGGCTGATGTTGACTGTGTTTTCCCCAGGCATGGTCCTATACCAATTTTTACGAGGTAAGAATCAAAAGTGTCATTATGATGAGTATTACAGTTGGCATTACAAAAATATAACCCGTTTCAGAACAGTGAAGGGAGAAGCAAAATTTATATTTGTAAACATCTGGACCCACTCGATAAGCGACACCCGCATAAACGCGAACCATAAATTGACCTTACCTAAAATGGTTAAAAATTGTTTATAATCCCTGCTAAACTTTAACTGAAATGGTTATGGAACTTTACATGAACGTTTAATGATAAAGTTTCAACCTTATGTATTATGGTTTTTTGGAACTGGACTTTACAAATAATGGGTTGTTAAGAACCATTACCGTTCCAAATTCTTGTTTTCTCCATACATTTTCGGAAAGAGAACTATATTAGAACCTTTTAACTTATGGTTTGAGAACTTTAATGGTAATGGTTATGGTAGTCAGTAAGGTCCACGAATGGTTTTGTAACATCGATCAACTTTATGTGGAATATATCGCGAATTGGTTGCCTGTAATTTACTGATTACCAATTCACGATATATTCCACGTAAAGTTGAGCGATAATACAAAACCATTAATGGACCTTACTGACTACCATAACCATTACCATTAATGTTCTCAAATCATAAGTAAAAACGTTCTTATATAGTTCTCTTTCTGAAAATGTATGGAGAAAACAAGAATTTGGAATGGTAATGGTTCTTAACAACCCATTATTTGTAAGGTCCAGTTCCAAAAAACCATAATACATAAGGTTGAAACTTTATCATTAAACGTTCATGTAAAGTTCCATAACCATTTCAGTTAAAGTTTAGCAGGGATTATAAACAATTTTTAACCATTTTAGGTAAGGTCAATTTATGGTTCGCGTTTATGCGGGCATCCCTCAAGGATCGATTCCAGCAGTGAACTGTGCTGTATGACGAAAACATCCTTCGAGGAATGCCTCGATTGCATCATACCCGAGGAGGTGACTCTATCTAAGATGCAGGACAAATTTTGTGCATGCTTCATAGATAGAGAAAAGATTGATTAGGATTTTGAAGATTTCCTGCAAAAAGGTGGAGATTGATGTGAGTAGATGGATTTAGATGCTGGTGATGAAATTATATTTAATTGGATAATTTTTTCCAATAATTATGTGGCAATAACAAAAATTTGACTTGCTTCAATGATTTCGGCTCGGACTTCGGTTTATAATTGCAAAGATTTCTAGAGGTTGTTTATTTTCTGACAAGCAGCCCCATGTAGCAAAAACAAATCAATAAAATGGGTACTTTTTACGCAAGTTCAGAAAAATTATAACGGGTAAAACAAAATACCCATTATGTGACGTATCCATTGAATACTTATTAATGAGTAATGTTTTTTTTTTATGTGTTTATTTTTCCAGGCTCATTTGCCGTAGCTTTGCGGAGCCGATATTCATTGTTTAGGTTACAAAATTTCTTAAGACTAACGTTAGAAAAGCGGGGGCCGATTACTCGCGGCTATCTCGAGGTTAGGGGTAACAAATTGTAACAAATGGATGGCAGGGTAGGGATTGAGAACACAAGGTTTGGAGAGCAATGTGCTCTTGATCTCGAACTAAGCGACCAACTGATGAAAAAGACAAACATGGGGGTACACCGATGGGCAGCTAACAACTTGGGGGAACACAAGATGACACTAACTACTAAATCCTCAGATCTATCCGTTTTAAAAACACATATATTAAATTGCAATAGTCGAGATCTCGGCTCGCCAAGATGTCTCTAACGGGCCGCATGGGTTGTTTTCCTCGGGCCCTGAGGGATGCGGATAACTCGGATCTAGCAACACAATGGAGGGTACATGACCAAAGTACGTGGTCGATATCGTGATAGCCACTACCACAAGCGCACAAATTGCTGCCTGCGAGCCCGATTCGGAAGAAATGCGAGTCTAACGAGTAGTGATTGGACATGAGCCTTGATATGACACGTATAAAGTCACGGCTCATGTCCAATCCTTTGAACCATGGCTTTTTCGATACCTGTGGGAGAATAGAATGTAACCATCTTCCCAGATCACTCTCATTCCATTTTTGTTGCCAGTTGGTGAGGACGTGCTGACGGGTGATTGAGAAAAATTCCGCAAAGGCGATTTGTCGATCAAAAATATCGCCTTCCATAGCGCCCATCTTAGCTAGCGAGTCCGCTTTCTCATTGTCCGGAATTGAGCAATGAGATGGGACCCAAACTAAGGTGATAGTATAAGAGCAGTTAGATAAAGTACTCAATTTAGCTCGGATTTCGGTCAGGAAATACGAGGAGTGCTTCATCGGCCTCATTGATCGAATAGCCTCCAACGAGCTAAGGCTATCAGTAAAAATAAAATAGTGATCAGATGGTAGTGAGGCAATTTGCTCTACTGCGTAAAATATGGCTGCTAGTTCCGCAACGTATACGGAACAGGGTTTTTGCAGTTGATATGAGGCGCTATGAAATTCGTTGAATGCTCCAAATCCAGTGGAAGCGTTTATAGTTGACCCATCTGTGAAAAAACTACAAGGGACAACCCAATGGGGTTGTACGCAATGATGACGTAGGACAACGTGGTATGATATAATAAATATTTTTGTTAACTGCAGCAGGAGTTTGTATTTTGTGTAGGAATAGGAATTTTAGCTGGGTTCTCTCTGTTTATTCTCTATGATTGCCCTCAGATTAACCAAGGCGCGTACAACCGAGGCGGTTTTTGTTGATTCTTTTGTATTTCGACTGGAACACTGGAAACGCACTACTTACCCCAACACAACAAATGAATGCAAATGATTGTCGGTACTGGATTAGTAGTGGTAGATCTCATAGCAGTAACAACCAACTTAGGTTAAATCTAATAATCTTAAACTGAAAAAAATCATCATTCGATCACATCCCAACCACCTTTTAAATCCGACAAGGAAGTTAATCAAAATCACCTTTTTAATTCATTTGATGGCCCTGAAAAGGGCCGGTTTTTTAGTCTGAGTCGATGATGCTAATTTATCCTCCGAAACCGTACAGAGTGCGTCCCTGTCGCTTCAGAGCGTAAACGACATCCATCGCGGTGACCGTCTTCCTCTTAGCGTGTTCGGTGTAAGTAACAGCATCACGGATAACGTTCTCCAAAAACACCTTCAACACGCCTCTAGTTTCCTCGTAAATAAGCCCAGAAATTCGCTTGACTCCACCACGACGAGCCAGACGACGGATAGCAGGTTTAGTAATACCCTGAATGTTGTCACGCACAGAGGTGGCAACAGTACATTTTTTGAAAAACCATCGTCCAGAGCGAAACAAAACAGCCAGCACACGGGCGGCCGTTTATAACTACATTCCAAGCGAACAGCGGAGATAGAGAATAAATAAAATCTCGCAGCCTGATTTTTCCAAACAGTTTATTGTAATGAAATTTTAGCTGCAGGCTTGCGTGTGACAGTAAATTACCAACTCCGTTATTTACGCATAATTTTAACATCAATGCTTATGAGTGGTCAGTCTTCATTATTATCTTTTAATTCCATGCAATAAACATCAAATACATGCAGTAATTAGCCAGAAATCAGCAAAATTCTACACGACATAAATTTATGTCGCGCGTGCCGCCGGTCTTGTCTGCTTCTTTGTAGGAAAATGTTCTGTCGCTGGCAGAAAACAGTTTAGAAATGTCATGACATTTTTGCCGCTTGCCAGTTTGCTTTTGTGTGTCGTCACAATGGTTATCGCAAAAAGTATCAAATGTTAAGGAAAAAATGTTAAACTCCAGGACTCGTGCCACCACTGGTCACGCAGCACTTTTCGATGACGCTTTGCTCCTCCTTTGCCGAGTCCTTTTCCTCCCTTGCCGCGTCCAGTCATTGTTGGAGATGGTTTGTTTATCGTTGATGAAGGTTGAGACGAAAGTGAACAAAAATTCCAAATTTCGGCTTTTTTATACCTACTTGAGGGTTAAATTCTCCTTGTTAGTTGTTGTATTCTTGTTCTTTCATCGTTTCTGATTGGTTGATCACAGCAAACGCATGTTATAAAACAGAATGGAAGTCGTTTTTATTTTTTATTCCACAGTTAGCTTTCAACGTGAACACATCGTTGTGGTAATGGTGTAGATAAGTCGTGATTTCGACCATGCAGAATAATCCCCGAAAGAGTAGGAGATAAAGTGAGAGAGGGACGAACATATGATCAGGACAAGTTGGTCAGGTCTGAGATGTGTATATAATGGGCAGGCGAAATATATATGAGTTAAATCGTTTGTGATTATCAACCGAACGAGTTGTTTGATTTATAGATAGTATCTCTACCCGAAGAAGGCCAAGTTAAAACAATCGTATACAAGGAAAATGGCTCGCACCAAGCAGACCGCTCGCAAGTCCACTGGAGGAAAGGCTCCTCGCAAGCAGTTGGCAACGAAGGCCGCTCGCAAAAGCGCTCCAGCCACCGGAGGAGTAAAGAAGCCTCATCGCTTCCGGCCAGGCACCGTCGCCCTGCGTGAGATCCGTCGTTATCAGAAATCGACCGAACTGCTGATCCGCAAGTTGCCTTTCCAGCGTCTGGTCCGTGAAATTGCCCAGGACTTCAAGACCGATCTGCGCTTCCAGAGCTCAGCTGTTATGGCTCTACAGGAAGCTAGCGAGGCTTATCTGGTCGGTCTGTTCGAAGATACCAACCTGTGTGCCATCCACGCCAAGCGTGTCACAATCATGCCAAAAGACATCCAGCTGGCTCGTCGTATCCGTGGTGAACGCGCTTAATTTCCCCGTCGAAAATCTTACCAAACCGGCCCTTTTCAGGGCCACTAAGTTCATATAAAAAAAGAGTTGGAATAGATTTCTTAAAGAACTACAAAAATAGTTTTCACCAAGTCATGGCTATTTTTTATCATTGATGGCGCTGTTGCATTGATAGTAAGTTAGAAATTTGGAAAAGTGGATGGAACGCTTTGGATGCATATTATGGTGAAAATAAGTCAAAAATCATTCATTACCGTTTAGTTTTTTTTCCTAGAAATTTTTGATAAATAGTATTTTCTTACAGGCTGAATTTTTATGTATTTTTTATGCAGAATATGCTAAATGGGAGGGACTTCAAATGTTAATCCTTCCTCCCCCACCAAATGTTACAGAGTGTCATCAAAGTACATGGAATGTTGAGATATTGAGAGTGAATTTTCTCTTTCAAATTTTAATGTTTTGGCTCTCTGGGGATTGGTAGTAAAGCGGTTAAAACTGTATGGGAAAAAAAAACTTTTTTATTTCATTCTAGCTTATTTACAAAACTTTTCAGGAAAAAACTGAACGACAAAGTCCATTAACGATTTCTTTAGGTTGTCGTCAACTTTTTTTTTTGAAAGCTTAGTGAAATTCACATGGATTTCATGCATTACATTTGTGATATATTTTTTGAGTGTATCCCCTGTTTCCATGTTTGGTACAAGATAACACTCTGGAGAGCATTATGTGTGGTCATTGGGAGCGTGTGGTTCTGAGTATGGAGATTAGTGTGCAAAATATTACGCAATTCCATCCTCCCTATTCGCACGCGCCCGAGGATCGGAGGCGAATGCCACTTCGACTTGTTTCGTCTACTTACTACTCTCTGACGACTGTGCTGGGGAAGCAGCTTATGCATGTAGGTAATTGGTGGATTTGTTAGTTAATTCGACGCTTTTGGACAATGCTGGAAATTTACCAGTTTTTCAATAGTTTCTTGCTGAACATCAACATTCGGAAGCATTGTTATCGATGCGTAGCCATATTTCTGATCGAAAGGTGATAAAATTATTGAAATTGGACCAGGGGCAGCTGAGTTATTAACGTTCAAAATCTTTCTTAATTTGTTACATGTTCCATTTTCGGTTTTCACAAAGTGTACCCCCATATAGAAATCAAAGACGTAGTCCTACGTCAAAAAAAACTACATAGGACGTTTTGACAAGTCGAGTTGTACATCGGACATGTTCCATTGGACGATTTTTCTCAATGACATAATCAATCAGTGTTACATTGGACGTTTTGTCTACATGATACTAGATTCCCTTTCACAGATTTCAGAGTATAGTTCCTAACTTTAGATTGGCCCCACCTTTGGAAAATGAGCACCAATCATGTAAGGCAGTCCGTCCGAATGACCGAAGTAACAATCATAATATGATTATACCCATCATTTCAAACTGTACATTGGACAATTTTTGATCAATGATTATTATAAATAAATGAAAGTAAATTTGGATGGATGTTTTTGTATCACACAAAATGATAGAAGAGCAATAGTTTGCATCGCTTAACTCGATTTGTTTACATTTGTTACATTGGTCTATTTGAAAAGTGACGCGAGAATTGTATTTTGTTTTCTCCGCCTATCTCTCCCTCTGAGTATATCTAATGTGGATCTTATGTTTTGTTGACATCAACATCAACCACTTCCAATGACGTTTATACATTGAACCACAAATCGGATCGATTTTTTTTTTGGCAAAAAAATCTATTCTCAGTTTTTCAGGTTTTTTCCCGTGGTAAAAGAGTGAAAACTTTTACAGATAGGTAGGTATTTAATAATTAGGCGATTTGCCGGCTATTGACAGCTGTAGCTCCAGAAGCCATGCCCCGTTTGACTAAGGGTGCGCTTGCGGCTAAGGCTCGTGAGGCGGTTAAAAGGCAGATTCGCCAATCCGCCGCAGCTCTACTCGTTCCACCGGTGGCGTCCGTACCTAAACCTGAAGCGCAAAACAATCCGGAATTGTCTGTGGAAGGTGATGAAACATTTGTCATTTTTGTGCAGTTGGTTTTGTTTTACGCGCAATTTCAGGTGGACCCTCGTTTCCATTGGAACCGACAATCGAAATCGATATCAAACAGGAACTGGTGTTTACCGGAGTTGAAAACCAGTTGCTGCAGCAGGGCGAAGTGGAAGTCAAGGAGGAACTTTTGGATCCAGGGAATCCGGGTCTAGTGGATGGCGAACAGGATCCCATCGGGCAAGATGGGTGTCGATTACTGCTCCAGTCAAAGGAAGAAAATGAGCCCGATAATCGTTGCCAGTTTTGTCTGAAACTGTTCCAGGAAAGTGGTGGGCGAGGTATCATAACGAAAATGAAGATTGAATTTGTTTTGGGTTTGCGCAAATGGGGTGGCCCGGGAAGGCGTCCGGATTGTTGTGAGGGCTGTAGGAGAATGTTCGACATGTTCTACGAATTCAAGCAGTCGTGTTTGTTGGCGTTGGCCCGACCGGCAGAGCTATTCATCTGCGCTGGGAATAAGGGTCTAGGGCAGTTTGTAGATTTGAAGCCAAACATTAGGAAGAAGCCAAAGTCGATGGGGAGGAAAGCTGTACGGATCAAGAAAAGTAAGACAAAGATTTCTCAGAAGATGGAAGATTTTCATGGGTTTGGGGTAAGTTCCAAGCAGGAAAGTCTTGAACCGGAGGCAGTAAGCACTGAAGCACTTTCGGCAGAATTGCAGCAGGACGTTAAGGAAGCAGAGTGTGCAATCTGCAATGAGAAATTTTCAGACAGGTACCTTCATGATTTAGTAAGCTTGTTAAACATTTTACAATCGCCTTTTGTTTTTTAGGTCGGCTCTAAGGCAGCACTTGTTGAAGCATTACCCGACAGAGTCAAATGAATCTGCTACAAAACGCAGTGGACCGGTAAAGAGAGAAAAGAAAACCTACTGTGGTCGTTGTCGGAAATGGTTTTCGGTCAAATCGGTCTACTGGCAGCACAAACCGAGCTGTGTTGAGACTCATGAACTCAATAAACGTCCACCACCAGAGTTTGCGTGCTCTCTCTGTCCGAAGAAATTCCTTCGCCAGCAAGAACTGACATATCATATCGACATGCACAACGGTGAGTCCGAGCTGATTTCGCAATAAAGAAACCAACTTGCCAAATTTATTTCAGGCGTACGAACGATTCCCTGTCGGCGGGAGGGTTGCAGCAAGATGTTCTACCACCCCAACGTTCGACTAAATCACGAAAAGCTTTGCGGACAGGAGGTCCAGGAGATATGCAGCATCTGTGGCTCCATTTTTCGTTCGAAAAGTGCCCTGGGCGTTCATTTAGCTACTCACGGGGATCCGAAGTTTATGTGTGAACTATGCAACAAGGGCTTCTATTCGAAGTATGTTATGCGAAATTCCAACTTCTTTTCTGAAATCAATCGACCTCTCTATCGACAGGGCCAATCTCAAGAAACACGCCACTGTCCATTCGGACGAGCGTAAGTTCCAGTGCAAGGTCTGTGGGAAACGATTCAAGTCGCACGAAGCGAACCGAGTGCACCAACGAATACATACAGAGGAAAAGCCATATGTTTGCCACATTTGCGGCCAACGGTTCACGTACAACTGTTTGCTGAAGACGCACCTGGAGAAAGGACACGAAACGGTGCCGGGACTGCTGGCACCGAGTACAGAAGCGTTTCCTTCGAATCCATTCGGTGGATTGGGGTTCTGAGTGGAACTGAGCAAGTTTGAACCGTTTGAATGGACGAAATAGAGTTGGTTCGGAAATCGAAGCTATTCTGGTCCACATGTGCAGTTGGTTTTGAAGAAGCCCCAATTGCTTAACTTTTAATTATCTTGATTACAGAAAGATCAGTTTAAGGAGTACGTTCGAAAAAAAGCTCACCGGGAAATGTCACACCTTCCTTGGCCGCCTTAGCCGACGAACGAATTGAGAAAGCTGGAGCAACTGAAATTCGTGCTAGTTGGCGAGAACACTAGCGCTAGCAAATCCGCACAGATGTTAACACCGCATTAGGTTCTACTCTGTTCTACTGTGAGTTCAAGCGAGTTAATCGTCTCAGTTAAAAACTCAGCGATGAGTAAAATTTGTCTCATGGTTTCCTGTGGAATACCTAAAAAATCTACCGGAAAATGAGGAAATTTACGAAAATTTTATTCAGTCTCGGAGTAGTACCAATAGACTGAGTGAATCCAATCTTTACTTTTCTCAAATTCGGGAATTTTTCCCTGGAAAAACCTGGGAAAACATGAGGCAAATTTACTCATCGCTGAGTTTCTGCACTTTCTACACTCAAATTTGAGTCGTTCTCATTCGCCGTGCAGCGTTTTCTATGATGAAAGATTAACCGACAAAACGTTACCCTAGCAGCAAGCAATGTACCTTTCTCCGGTCAAGTTGTGGGTGCAATTGAATTCAACGTCGAGATTATTTCCAGTACCGCACTAAAACCAACAATCAATACGAAACTAACGCTTTTAAATTGGCTCACCACTTTAGTAGCCTATTGGTCCCAAGCAAACGATTAACGTACCCTATTCTAGTTGAAATTCTATTACTACACTATGTTTGTTTTGATTCGCTATGAAAGTTTGACAGATAACATCAGGGGTGTGTGGATTCATGCAGAACATGCAGGGGTGAGTGAAATAGCTTGGGACTGCTTGGGACCGTTGTTCTGGTACTGAGTGAGCCAAAAATAATAATGATTTTCTTCGGGACCCAGTGGTCTTAGGCTGTGAACCATTTGCCGAGTTAAATTTAACTCGTGGTTAAAAGTGACATTTCGAAAGTTATTTTCTTTGTTCGAAAATCCCCGTGCTGTCGATCGACCGGTTTTCGAGCCACGGTTGTCAAAATTTAACTTCTTGTCTGTCAGAATAACCATGCTCGGATAGCAGGGTAAATCGATAACTTTTCATCTGTCAAATTCTAACCAAAAGTTAAAATAATCCACCAAATGGTTCAGAGCCTTAGAGTTACCTCTATGCTAAAACTCATGTCGTCCTTCAACCCCAGGACCGGACGGTGTTCCTTCAGTTTTTCTGAAGATACATATATCGCCAGCTTACACGGCCAATGAGAACGACCCAAATTTGAGTTTAGTTAACATAAATAACATAATCACAAAGTGCAGGAACTCAGCGATGAGTAAATTTGCATATAGGATATCGCACCCATTCAAACACACACATGGGCCGGAACCAACGGCTTTACTTCCCTTTCGAAGGAAGACGTGACCAGAGAATTATATGCCTCAGAAAAATCCCACCGACCTCGGCTGGGATTGAACCTACACACTTAGAAACAATCACCGACTTCGGTAATTCATTTACCGAATTCTCAACTGCTGAACAGTCGGTAATGTTTTCGGTAATCGAGAACATTACCGAAAAATAACCATAAACGAACGATAACCCAAATCATTGAACTATTCCACAAATGGTTTGGATGATACCCAGAACACGTCGTTAAGCAAATTAACCATACAATTTTTATTAGGGAACTGGATCAGCAAAATTAGCTGTCAAATTTACCGAACGATCGGTAACGTTTACCGATGTGCATTGCTTGATTTGTAGCTGACTTTACCGGAGAACTGTAATTTTGAGGACGATATGACAATCGAAAATTACCGAGTGATCTGTCACCGACTCAGCTGTAATTTGCTTTAATATTGTTTCAAGGTGGCGGTCACTGCAACCCATGCAAATATTTGGCTGCAGTCGTGACCAATGTGTTAGTGTTGCAAATTGCACCACCAATGAACAAAACCGTTGGTGACGATCTGAAAACTTAAGTTTTTGTCGGAAAGATTCGGCGCTACACTGAAAACAAGGAAGCATTGGAAGATCGTCGCCAACGGGAATGGAACTTGGACCGACAGAAAAAAAAACAAGCAACAACATCGGCCATCTGTAATCGGTATTTATGTAGATAACGAAAAATAATTATTTACGAAAAATATCTACGATTCGCTCATCCTGGTGTTGCATAACAGCCTCCATAATTTCACCTTTTTTATTTTTCACAAGCACGAACGCTTTTAATGTCGATCGAAAATGACAATATGGTGGATTTGACGTTTACCTAGACCGTTACCGAACTCAGTAACGGAACGCTTTGTTTACCGAAACTTCAGTAAAATATTTCACCGAAGTCAGTGATGAAGCTGATTTACAGACCGGCCGGTAAAAATGTTTACCGTTTTCGGTAAATTAAAATAAAATTACCGAAATTCGGTCATTTCATTTACAGTTTTCAGCAATAAAGCGAGAAAATACCGAAACATCTGTAATTTTTAGCATTACCGATCTAAGACGGTAATTTTTTTACCGAACTCAGGGTCTCTGTTAAAGTGTGTAGACCCATTGGGGTGAGACAGCAGTCACGCTTACTACTATCAACAATCAATACGAAACTATCGATTTGAAATTGGCTCACTACTTGACTAGCCTATTGGTCCCAAGCAAATCGATTAACGTATCCCATTCTAGTCAAAATTCTAGTACTACTCAATGTTTGTTTTGATTTGCTATGAAAGTTTGACAGATAAAATGAGGGGTTAGTGGAATTTCCTATGTTTCGAGGGGTGAATCGACTAGCTTGGGACCGAAGAGAGTACCAGAGCTGAGCCAAAAAGTAGAGCTCGTTTCTTCGGGACCTTCTAGTCTTAGAGTTACCTCTATGCTACTACACCACTAGTTCTAGTACCACTAATCTGCTGTGTCTGACATCGTATGACACGGATAGCATGATTGAAACGGCTCAAAGAGACGATAAGCTAAATCATGCCATCGCGATTGCCATGTTGCGTAGACTTGGGGTTAGCGGTAGCCTCGGTGTTAACCTCTTGAAAAGGATTCGCTCTTATCTCACTGATCGACAGTTAGTGGTGGTCATTTGTGACTGCCACGTCAGGAATACCTCAAGGAAGTCATCTGGGACCAAAGATCTTCTTACTCTACTTCAGTGACGTGAATTTGGTTATCTAAGGTCCACGACTATCGTATGGATCGTATGTAGATGATCCTACTTGCGGATCTGCTCGATTGATGACTGTCACTCCCTTCATCGTCAGTTTCAAGCCTTTGCCCAGGATAGCAACACTGTTTTCATTCAGCTCTGATTACATTGCATGTTAACTATAAAAGTGGTTAAATTTTAATCATCGATGAGTGTATATAATTTTCCGTGAGTGTTGTCTTTGTGGATCTATGTTTTATTGACATACAAAATGTCAATGCCAACATAAAAAGTCCCTTGATATTTTCATTCCCTTCATTCCGTTTAGTCCGAATTTCCCAAAAATGTTAAGTGTGGAATAATTAAACAGGAATTCAGTGCAACATCTCCAGAAACCATGCCCCGTGTGAGTAAACGTCGGCATGCGGCAAAAGCTGTGTGGATGTCCAGAAAGTTGGCTAGTCAATCCACCGCAGCTCTACTCGTTCCACCACCGAAGGCGGAAAAATGCAGACCCGAGTCGCTACATGATCTGGAATTGTTCGCTGAAGGTACCTACATTAGTTGTTTTCGAGCAGATCATTTCATGTCATCCAATATTTCAGGCGAACTCGAATCGACGGTCGAAATCGACATCAAACTGGAACCCCTGGAGGCCGGACAGGATGAACAAATACTGCAGCAGGATGAAATGGAAGTTGAGGTGGAACTTTTGGATCCGAAGGATACATGTCCGGCGGAAGAGGAGCTTGATCCGATTGGTCAAGATCCTAATCAAAAGTTATTGCAGGAAAAGGAAGAGAACCAGCTGGAGACCCGATGCAAGTTTTGTCTGAAACAGCTCCGGGAAGCCAGTGGACGAGGTGCTATCACTCAATTGAAGATTGAATTTGTGTTGGGCTTGCGTGAATGGGGCACGCCGGGAACGCGACCAGCCTGTTGTGAAGGGTGTCGGAAAATGTTTGAACTGTTCTACGAGTTCAAGCGGTCCTGTTTGGTGGCATTGGCACGACCGGCAGAACTTCTCGTCTGGGCCGGGGCAAACAAAAGTGCAGGGAAGTTTGTAAATTTGAAGCCCAAGATTGTGAATAAGGCAAAGATAATGGAAAGGAAAAGTGAACGACCCGCGGGAAGCAAGACGAAGAAGCATGTTCAACAGAAGGAAAAGTTAAATGAAGGTTCCAAGCAGAAAAGCCTTGAAGTGCAAATACCAAGCACAGAAGCACTCTCGACAAAATTGAAACAGGACATCAAGAAACCAAGTTTTGAATGTGAGATCTGCATGGAGAAATTTTCCGATGGGTAGCGATGGGTTTGATTAACTTTTTATGCTGTTTTTCAATTGTTTCAATTGATTTTTCTAGGTTGGTGCTAAAGAAACATTGGTTGAATCATTTCCCCACAGCGTCAAACGAAACTGTTACGAAGCCGACTGTTCGAAAAAGAACAACGGATCTGCCTATCTCTGATGCCGCTTCCAATATTTCTGCACCGGAACCAGCTCCGTCGACCGCCGTGGTGGAAGATGAGGAGCAGAAGAAAACTTATTGTGGCCGTTGCCGGAAATGGTTTTCGACCAAAACAATTTACATACACCACAAACCGTTCTGCATCAAGTTTCAAGTACGTCCAGAACCGGCGTTCGTATGCTCTCGCTGTCCGCAGAAATTTCATCGCCAGCAGGATTTGACACTTCATATCAACAAGCATAACGGTAGGTCGCTTAAATGATTCCGATAAAACGTCGATCGAATGTCCCTTTCATTTCAGGAGTACGCACGATTCCCTGTCGGCGAGACGGTTGTACCAAGATGTTTTTCAATACGAAAGCTCGCCACACGCACGAAAAGCTTTGCGGTCAGGACGCCCAATTGATATGCAGCGTCTGTGGTTCGCTGTTTCGATCTGGAGGAGCTCTGCGCATTCATTTAGATACTCACGGCGATCCGAAGTTTTCGTGTGAACTCTGCAACAAAGCTTTCTATACCAGGTAGGTTACGGTGCATTCTCAAATTCGGTTTAAACTGAATAGTGCCATTCTTCCGACAGAGCCAATCTCAAAAAGCATTCTGCAACCCATTCGGAAGAGCGCAAGTTCCAGTGCAAGGTCTGCGGGAAGCGGTTCAAGTCGTACGAAGCGAACCGGGTGCACCAGCGGATCCACACGCAGGAAAAGCCATACGAATGCCATATATGTAGCCAGCGTTTTATGTACAACTGTTTGCTGAAGACGCACCTGGAGAAGGGACACGAACCGGAGGAACCGGGGCAACCGGTTTGAATGCATGCGATGAGTAAAAGCTGGAGGAAAATATATCTTTTGTTTGTGTAGGGCTAAACACTGTTGTTGGTTCGCACGTGCTGTTGGTTTTGAAGAAGCCGTTGACTCGGATATGATTGTCGTGACCTGAAGGAGCTTTCTAGCCTCAGCAAAGACCACCCGAAAGCAACAGTAGGCAGATGGATGGTTTCAGAGCGGACCGCTTTAAGATGGCTCCGGATGAGTTGGCCACTTATTAAACCGACTGTCAGGAATTAATCTCAGTTCTGGGATTCAGAACTGTTACCGGAGGAGTGGAAAGAGGGAGTAATAAGCCAAATATAGAAATAAGGTAACAGGCTAAAATGTAAGAACTGCCGATAGGTCCTCCAAAAGTGTCGATTTCAACGTCGCTTACGATACTATTGACCATGAAGATCTCGGAGGGATACGGTAGATGTTGAGGGACTAAACTCGGTTTATTAACATCAAATTATTTTCTAGACGGCTGTGATTGGACTCTTCGGTTGGACCCAATAATGAGTAAACCATAGTAACAAGCTTTTAAGAAAATTCCATTACAGTGAACCATATTATTTTAATGGATTTCTTCGCCAGTTAGTCGTCTGTCACTTCGTTTGTGGTATCACTTTCCAAAAAGATCATCCATATCGACTCTCGCGTCCCGTGGATGACGAAAGATCTTCACTCGTTGAAAAGAACTAAGAAGGCTGCTCTCAGAAGATTTACCAAATTCCGCTCACTGCCGCTGAAATGCTACTATGCCAGACTGAACCACGAGTATAAGCGGTTAAGTCGTCTCTGTTTTCAACGCTATCAAAGGAGGATTCAACGGCGGCTAAAATCACACCCGAAATCCTTCTGGAACTTCGTAAATGAGCAACGCAGGGAAGTCGGCTTACTTAGTTTCGATTCTTCCATCCCCAGTATTAATTCTGGGTGATATGAACTCCCATGGTACTGGGTGGGGCGATCTATATGATGACAATAGAGCGGCTATTTTTTACGATTTATGTGAAGACTTCAATTTGACTATTTTGAACACTGGTGAAGCGACACGTATAGCAAAACCTCCGGCTCTAGAAAGCCGACTCGACCTATCTTTGTGTTCAAGATCGCTATCATTGGACTGTCAGTGGAAGGTTATCAATGATCCCCATGGTAGCGATCATTTGCCAATCATCATTTCAATTAAGTGTGGCCCTCACTGCAGAACCATCTCGGGTTCCATTTGATCTTACAAAGAACATCGACTGGCAGAAATATGCAACGGCGGTGACAATCGGTGTCGAACTTCCACCATTGGAAGAATATCGGTTCCTCACCGATTTGATTTACAAAAGCTCACTGGAAGCACAAAAAAGAAAAGTTCCAAATGCACTCTTTAAAAGGAGACCAGCCACACCTGGTTGGGACGAAGAATGCACAAAATTGTATGTAGAAAAATCTGATGCTTTCAAAGCTTTTCGTAGACACAAAACCTCCACATACTTCGAGGAATATTCAAAGCTTGAGACAAAGCTGAAACAATTAATCAAAGCAAAAAAACGCGGTTACGCGGTATTGGCGCAATTACGTCGAGGGACTCTCACGAGAAACCTCAATGAACACCTTGTGGAGGGTGGCTCGCAACATGCGTAACCGCTCAGCTTTCAATGAGAGTGAAGAATACTCCAACCGGTGGATATTCGATTTCGCTAAAAAGGTCTGTCCGGACTCAGTTCCAGCACAACATATTCTTCGAGAAGCGTCTCCGAGCGGCGGCTCTCTGGATAGAACATTCACAATGCTGGATTTCTCTATGGCTCTTCTTTCATCGAACAACTCCTCACCGGGAAGCGATATGATTAAATTAAATCTTCTGAAAAATCTCCCAGATATCGCTAAAAGACGCTTGCTAAATTTATTCAATTCCTTGCTAGAAAACAACATTGTACCGCCTGAATGGAGACAGGTCAAAGTAATAGTGGTAATAGCCATTAAAAACCTGGCAAACCAGCGTCTGACCATAACTCATACCGTCCGATTGCTATGCTTTCGTGCATTAGGAAATTGTTGGAGAAAATGATCCTTCGGAGACTCGATCACTGGGTCGAATCAAATAAATTGCTATCAAATACACAGTTTGGGTTCCGCAAGAGCAAAGGAACAAACGATTGTCTAGCGCTGCTTTCCACAAGGAGCAATTGGCTTCAGTATTCTTGGACATTAAGGGGGCTTTTGATTCAGTTTCCATTGAAATTTTGTCAGAAAATCTGCACAGATGTGGACTTTCTGGAATTTTAAATAATTTCTTGTACAATTTGTTGTCAGAAAAGCAAATGAACTTTTCCCTTGGACAACTGACAACTTCCAGAATTAGCTACATGGGCCTGCCCCAAGGCTCATGTCTCAGCCCTCTTCTTTATAACTTTTACGTCAAAGATATCGACAACTGTTTGGCAGAACAATGCACGCTTAGACAACTTGCAGATGACGGTGTGGTTTCCGTAAGAGGTCCACATGCCGTGGACTTGCAAGGACCATTGCAAAATTCCTTAGATAACTTGTCTTCTTGGGCTAGGAATCTAGGGATCGAATTCTCGTCGGAGAAAACTGAACTGGTAGTGTTTACTCGAAAGCGGTACCCAGCCCAAATGCAGCTTAATCTTTTGGGCAGAAACATTACCCAATCATTGTCTTTCAAGTACCTTGGGCTCTGGTTTAATTCAAAGTGCACTTGGAATGCCCATATTACGTATTTGAAGCAAAATGTCAGCAGAGGATCAATTTTCTCCGTTCAATTTGCGGCACATGGTGGGGTGCTCATCCGGGAGACCTCATAACGCTTTATAAAACAACTATTCTCTGTTCTAGAGTACGGCTCTTTCTGCTTTCTCTCGGCAAGAAAAAGTCACCTAATAAAATTGGAACGAATTCAATATCGTTGTCTGCGTATTGCCCTTGGCTGTATGCACTCAACGCATAACATGAGTCTCGAGGTTCTGGCAGGAGTAAAACCCCTCCAGAACCGTTTCTGGGAGCTCTCTCTCAGAATACTAATCAAATGCGGAGTGACGAGCACACTTATAATTGCTAATTTTGAAGAAATTTTTGGGCTGAACACACAATCTCGATTTATGAGAATCTACCACCACTACATATCGTCGGATATGTGTCTTCCTTGTTATACTCCAGACCGTGCTCACTTCACCAATCGCAGTTCCTCAATTGAATATGATCTGACCATGAAACAAGCAACTCATGGGATTTCCGATCAACTTCGACCTATTATTATCCCACGTATTTTTACTGAAAAGTACCAACAAGTCAATTGCATGAAAAGATATTTTACAGACGGGTCCCGTCTCAATGGATCCACTGGCTTCGGTGTCTTCAATGAAAACTCTAGCGCCTTCCGCAAACTTCAGGAACCTTGTTCCGTTTTTGTTGCTGAGCTGGCAGCAAATAACCTCGCATTGGGGATGATTTCCAATATGCCCACAGAACATTACTTCATCTTCTCGGATAGTCTCAGTTCGATTGAGGCTATTCGGTCGATGAAACCAAGTAGGCACTCATCTTATTTCCCTTCAAAGGTAAGGGAGCAGATGAGTGTACTGGTCGAAAGATCATATATGATTACCTTTGTATGGGTCCCCTCACATTGCTCAATCCCAGGCAATGAGAAGGCGGACTCTCTCGCAAAGGTGGGCGCGCAGGAAGGCGAATTATATGACAGGCAAATTTCACACGATGAATTTTACCATTTAGTGCGTCAGAGTACCCTTTCGAGTTGGCAAACCGATTGGGACACTGGAAATCTTGGACGGTGGTTACATTCAATTATTCCTAATGTTTCTTCGAGAGCGTGGTTTAAAGGCTTGGGCTTAACTCGTGACTTCATTCGGGTGATGAGTAGACTTATGCCCAACCACTACTCGCTAGATGCTCATCTCAATAGAATAAACCTCGTGGACAGCAACATCTGTCGGTGTGGAAACGGTTACGATGACATCGAACACGCAGTTTGGCAATGTACGGATAATGACGCCGCCAGAGAGCGACTTTTGAATACCCTCGAGGCCCAAGGAAGACAACCCTATGTTCCTATCAGAGACGTGTTGACAACCCGTGATCTCTGCTATATGCAGTCCGTTGACTCCTACTAGACATATAATTAAGTGAATTTTGTTACAAACAGTGAACAATGAATTATCGGCTCCGTAAAGCTAACGCGATTTAGCCTTCCAAATAAACGAAATGGATAAAAAAAAGTCGGCTTACCCTCTTCCATGATTTTTAATGGTAAAACGGTAAAACCATTAAAACTGCTGGCAATCAACAAGACATTTGCAACCTGTTCTCAGCCAAATTTGCTAGTGTGTTTGAAGACGAGCAACTCTCCGCTAATCTCATTACTTCCGCGGCCAGTAAAGTTTCTTTGGTCAACCAAACGCTCAGCTTTGTCGACACCACTACAGATACGATTTCTAGAGCAGCATCTAAACTTAAGACTTCAGCTAAGGCTGGACCCGTTGGTGTTCCGTCGATTGTTCTTAAAAAGAACATCACTTGTCTTTTAGATCAACCGCGCCGCATATTCCAGCTCTCTCTTTCCAACGGCATCTTTCCGTCTTGCTGGAAGACTGCGGATATGTTTCCTGTTCATAAAAAGGGAAGCAAACGCGACGTAAACAACTACCGGGGAATCACATCGCTGAGTGCTGTATCAAAACTTTTTGAATTGGTTGTCATAGAGTTCCTAAATGCGCATTGCAAGCAATATCTAAGTATAGATCAACACGGGTTCATAACTGGGCGTTCCACAACTACGAACCTGCTGTGCCTAATGTCTTACATCACATACAGTTTGATTGCTCGGACCCAAACGGACGTTATTTACACAGATCTTACGGCAGCCTTCGATAAGCTGAACCACGAAATTGCGATCGCTAAGCTTGATAAAGGGTGATACGGTCAAAATTTGGTCAATATCAACTTGACGTATTTCTTTCAATTTTGCATTTAAAAAACCTGAACACCCCTCATTTTG